TCAAAAGGCGTAACTTACAAAATCTCAATTTAGATGTGATAACAATATTTAAATAATGATATTATTCACACTTCTAGGTCAGCACATATGCTTTGTTTTTTGTTTTTTAAATAATATTGTCTGTGGTTCCTATAAACATCGTAAAATCTTTAAAACTACATAGCACATATTCAAAATTAAGTCTATAAAATGTTACTATAATATTAATAGAAACTATAGAATTCTCATTAAACAAAAAAAAAAACAATCATACTTTAATAATAAAAAATAATAACGTCTCCAACAAATGTAACAGAGTCAACGCACATACCTCGAACAATTATGACTTATTTTATTAAGACTTAGTTTAAAAAATGTTTTACGGAGATTTCTTGACAAAATATATGTATTTACAATACAGTGACATGAATTAAATAATGATAATATTAATACGTACCGAAATTAGAAAATTCCATCCTTTTTTTAGCGTCCTGGATGTGTGATTTTTACACTTTTTAAACGAGCACTGAGGCATGTTTACCGTCGGGGCGTTCGAATGTAACTAAATTAAAAGCGCACCCAAATGTTCGAATGGGTGCTCATTCGGTGAGGTCGTTTTTTGTCACTGATTGTGTATCTAGTTTTTATTAGTGATCGATGATTACAACACGTTTATTAATAATAAGATTTTATTGATTATTGTCCTTTAAACAAAACAAGCTTTGTATGAAGGTTTCTAATTTTTTGTTTGGGTTCAAATGCATTAGTTGCGTGATGTCATACCATGACTATCCGAAGCTACCCCATAGTTCACCAGACTTACACATTTTGTTCCACCCCATTGGACGTACTTCCTTATAGCCATCTCATCCATGCTTACTGCACAATACAGTTCGGTTTTTTTGTTATTTCACTAATAATATAATATGTAGGGGACTCTCGTATATTTCACACGAACATACACGCAATTACACTATACACATGTCTTATCTGCTGGCCGATGAATCGTAGGTTCGATTATGCGTGGCGTCGTCGAAACAAGACCATATTTGGTAATAGATCCTATACCTTTAAACGAGCAATTCTTGTATATATGTGTGTGTGTGTGTGTGTAATCGGAATCTCGGAAACGGCTCCAACGATTTTCATAAAATTTTGCGTGCAGGGAGTTTCAGGGGCAAGAAATCGATCTAGCAAGGATTTTTTTTAGAAAATGCCTTTTTGTACGTGTTTTTAGGCAATGAAAAACTGCTACAATATCGTTAGAATAAGAAGGTAAATTTTGACAATTTAATAATGATTACAAATAGCTTAATTGGTATATTGAGTGGTCACAAAATCGTAATACCATGGTTCGAGCCCAGACAGACCGACCGACTTTTTTTAATTTTTTTTCAAGTGCCTTTCTTTTTTGAGAAAATCTATTTTTTCGTGCCCTTTTTTCGTATTTTTTAAAAACACGAAAACTTTAATTAAACTAATTGCCCTCATGATTTTTTATTCAAATAACCAGTTCAGTTTTTTCTATTATGTCTATATTATGTCTATGTATGTAAAAAATATTATTCGTATTTCATCAGTATGTAATTTGTATCTAAATATAATTTCCAAAACACACGAATTAAAAAAAACCGAGCGAAAAATACCGAGCAAAGCTCGGTCAACCGGGTACTGTTAATAATTGAAGCAACACCGTATACGGTAATATTATGCGGCAGTGGTTGCAGCCGGCGATATTTAAGCGCCACCCCCTTGACTGAACATTGAGTCGCTTAGTAGCTTACGTACTTTGACGTGGAGATATTGTCGCTTTGTCTCACGATCTAAAATTAATTATGTGTGCTGATCTATTGTTAATTTACTATCTTGTGTTTAGTTTATTTCTATCTCTGTACTTCTTTCTTATTGTAAATTCTCCCGTTGCATTCTCCTTCTGTCTATTATTTCAGTGTAACTTTATGATTGTGCGTAAATATTAAAATGCGAGTGTTAGCACAGAACTATCTTTTATTTGTACAACTCCGGTGTGCACCTAGCAGTTATCACACACCACAACATCGTGACATCTACACTAGCTCCCACTGTAAGACACTGTAAAATACATATTATTATTTCCTATAACAGTGGGTAATAGTTTATACAAAAGTTGACAACACCAAAGACTTTAGATTTACAATTGCTATTTTTGTGCTTTTTAACTATAAATTTACGTCTAGAGTACATTAAACATAATATATAAATTTTATTAAATGTTACAGAATGCCTAGTAATCGATAAAGAGTGGTATACTTACGAATTAAAAGACAACCCTGGCAATTTCGTTCCACTATCACTTTTCAAAAAAAAAAATCAAAAAAATCTTTGTTCTCAAAACAGTAATACTTAAAATTAAATACATTATTGGAACACCCCTTTTAAGTTCGGAAACTTGTGTTAGGAGGCTCTGCTCTTCCCGTCCTTCATTTATATAAATTAGTGTTTAGAACTTGGGTAACACATAGATTTTTGACTTACAGTTATACTTATGTAGTATTTTTACAATAAAATATCCGTTGGTGTTAGTTGTGTGATTGTGTAGTGTATGTGATGTGTGCATGTTGAGGTATGGTATATTTAGTAAATTATTAATTATGTGTAGGGTGTTAGTGGATGTTGAGGTATGGTATATTTAGTAAATTATTAATTATGTGTAACAAGTTCGTCTTGTCACGTTCATACCTAGTAGATTTGTGAATTTTAAGCAATAAGAATAAAATATATAACTTTCGAACTGATAAGACACCAGACAAATTATAAAGGTCAGTAGTGGGGAATCGGTATGGCTTGAAATAGCAGACCTTAAGCAGGGCTCTTTGAGCTCGCTCAACCTGAAGGAATCTTGTTTTTAAAGCTCCTCCCCATACTGGGATACAATAAGTAAAAACAGATTGAGCCAGTGCTGTATATACTTGGTTCACTAATGCGTTGATTGTTACATGTCTTAACTTTTTGAAAATCCACATTAATTTTCTTATGTGGCCAGTTATTAATTCAATATGGTTATACTGGGTTATACCAAGACAGTCTCTGGTCAATAATAACACCTAAATATTTTGTTTTGTCCACTCTATCAATAACAGCATAGTCACAATTAAAAAATAGGCTGTCTTGGCAAGTGTGTATTTTAATGCTGAAGTTGGCTGGTGGTTGAGTGTAATTGCAAATAGCAAAACAAATATAATTTGTTTTATGCGTGTTTAATGAGAGTAGGTTGTTATTTAACCAGGCTTCTATAGTTTTAAGTCCCGATTCTGTACGCATTTTCACTTCCTCCCAAGTGTCTCCCGAAAAAGTAACAGCTGTATCGTCAGCATAGGAGAAGATGTGACCGTGAGGAATAGAAAGTTTGCACAGCTCATTAATTTAGACCAAAAATAGCGTAGGCCCTAAGACGCTACCCTGAGGGACGCCGAAAATAACATTTTCTTCGTCACTCAACACAGCGTCCACATGAACACGCTGAGTGCGCTCATGTAGGTAGCTGAACATCAGGTTTAGCGAAGTATCCCTGAAGCCGATAAGCTCCAAAAACTTTTAAAGATCAGGAATAGAGACCGTTTCAAAAGCCTTTCTCAGGTCTAAAAATACTGTAATACACTTTTGCACCCTAAAACACTACATCGCACCATGTTTTTTTTAAATGGTTGAAATACTAAGTCTAAATTGTTCACAACAAAATATAATATGAATTACTTAACATAAAACACGTAAAACTGTATTTTATTGAGAGGCAATGTCTCACTACATGTTAGCTGTCATACTTTGTTTAGCAAAGTAGTGTGCTAACCTTGAAAAACGTGGCACGCTCAGCTAAACAAAGAATCTCATCGTTCTATTTAATTTCTTTAAATAACATTGGCGTAATTTGCTCTTTCTCGTGTGTGACAGCGACAAAAGATATCAAATTGTCTATAGCATTCTCTGTCTACGTGCAGTAGGTACCATTCTCCGAATAAATTAGAGAAATTTCTAAATATATAATATTCTTTGCGTTCTAATGATTTAAAAAAAAATTAAGCTCAGTAAACGAATCTACATCGTTTAAGCCATGAAGGTTAGAGAACAGGAGAACGATCGCCGTAGAAAATAGTGTCCCAGAAATATGGATACCAGAAGTGAGGCGCTGCGATCGCTAAGTTCGGTTAATAAAAGTCATTTTCAGTCCATTTTTCCAATCAGATGCTAAACCACTTTTTGTCAAAAATTACAAAATTATGGTTGTCATTAATTCCGCGGAGAAAATTCGTACATTATTCAACTAACTTCATCTACTTGTACTCATAAGCAGCTATATTATATGTACTCCACTGTACTGTACTGTAACTATATTATAAGTTCGCAGTCACTACTCACCGACGTCAGCACCGCTATAAATTCTACAATTTTCAAGGACAGGCGGGCTATGCTTTAGTACGTAGTGATCGTTCTCCTGGTACTCTTATTAGTTTGTGTCCTGTTCTCTAACCTCCATGGTTTAAGCCTTTGCTATATAGCAACACTTTAACTTAATTTAATGTTATGTTGGTATCTGCTGACGCTGCCTTTGATTGATTTCCGGTTAAGTAAAATAACATCTTTTTATTCCAAAATTTGATACTATACAAAGAAACACTATAAAATATAAATTATTTTAGTTTGTATTTGTTTTAAAAATATTTAGTTTTGTTTTATAGAGTAACTTGCTATTTTTTATTTATTTGATAGTGTACTCAGTGCTACCATCTGAAGAAGCGTGTGAAGTAATTTCGTACGCAGTCGGTGAATTTATTTACAATTAATATATTGCAATTATTTTGACAAATACGCGAAGAAATTATTAAATTTTTATTTTAGTAATATTATTTGATAAGTACATGGTGAATGCTAATAAGTGTTAATGTCGATTTAAATGATGTTATGGTGACTGCTGACTGATCTACTCGACATATACTTGTTATAGAACAAAATATGGTCGTATGTTTAGCTTGAACAGATAAGTGGTGATGTGTGAACAGCCTGAAAATAATTATTTGGATGGAGACGTGGTGTGGGTGAAGCTGGGCTCCTGCTGGTGGCCTGGCGAAGTCGTAAGTCCTGAGAAGCTGCCACCAGATGTCTTGCCATCGTTTAGGAAGCCTCCAATTGCTGTTGTCAAATTTTTCCAAGAAGATACTTAGTAAGTTTACTAATGTAACCTGAAATATTTGTTTTATGTATAAACATTTAACATTTTCCAGAACATATTAATATAAGTTTTTGTTTGATTATAAAGTACAAGTAGTTTAACCATAAACAAAGTTTACATCGATTAAAATGCATATCCAACAGTTTAGTTTATTTTCATTCAGTATTATGTTTTTATTAGTAAAATTTTTAGTAAGTATATTAGTAAAGTAATGCAGTTATTGCAATTATTAAAATTTCATGTAATATTGTTTACTCAGACCTTATATAAGGTTAGAACATTTGTTTTATAACAATCTACTTAAGTTTTTCTTTTTAATTTTCAGTGAATATGTGAAGAATACTAATTCTATATACAAATATAACTGCAGTCGGAAAAATGAATTTATTAACAAAGGACTTTGTAAGTTTTGCATTTTATTTTTTTACTGATTGCAATATATTCATCATATGCACTAAATTAGAACCCTAAAAACTGAACACTTAAATTTTATAGTGCTTGTCTTTAACTTATCTACTCAAACATCCACGGTGACTGTAGTCCTCAAAAAAACTTGCATTAACTGTCCATGGTGACTACAGTCCCGGAACGACATTGTTCACTTTACTTACAGCTCTAAAGACCGATGTTAATAATACTGTAGGAAAATAAGAGGTGGTGCTAGTTCAGTTTAGTTTATGATGGGCTGTTTTCCGCAACTCCATGTCTAAGCGCGTATTTTGCGTGTGGGCAGGAATAATGTGGTTATTTGAGCCATGATATTTCCCCGAAGAAGTTCAACAGTCCTTTGATGTTGCAAGCAACTTTGGGGAGCAATCCCGGTGTGCCGAGATGTTTAGCCCTGTATGAAGCAACTTCTGGACATGTCAGAAACATGTGAGCCGCCGTTTCTTCCTCTCCCACGCATGCTCTGCACAGGGGGCTATCAGTAACACCTATGGTAAACAACTGTTTGTTAAAGGAGCCATGTCCTGTGATAGCACTTGTTACTAACCTGATCTGTGGCATGTTCAGTCTCATTATAACCTTGGTTAGACAACTGTTTATTTCAGGCAGGGCCTCCCTAGCTTATCTACAGTCTACAAATATTTTCCAAAGCTGAGTGTGTAAACTATTGAAGTGTCTATGTACCAGTGAATGCACGTAGCCAAAGGGGATTGGTGTTATAGATTCTGGCCCTATAGTAGCCAGAGCCGATCCCCTTCTGGCCAGTTCATCTGCTGCATCGTTGCCTCTAGATCCACTGTGTCCCTTGATCCATTGCAGAGTCACATTGTTGTGCTTACATACCTCATTCAATCGTTGATGGCACTCGTATATCAGTCCCGAGTTCGCCACATTGCAACTCAGAGTACCGCCATACTGTCGGTCAGTATTCTGATGGAGAAGTCTTTCACCTTCCTAGCATCTATTGCTATGGCCGCTTGGATAATACCCATGCATTCAGTCTGGAAGACTGTGTTATGGGTACCCAGCGATGTGCATATGTGGATATTAAGGTCTTCAGAGAAAGCCCCACAAGTGGTGCTATTTGAAATTTGTCATCCATGAGAGTGAATTTTATCTTTGCTTTAATAATAGTTCGCCGTTCTTGTTTAATGGACTGATAAAATGTGTGGAGTTTAATAAAAAATATGATTAGTTTTCTGTTTTTATATGTCATTTCTAACAATTCCAAAATGTTTACATATAATAATTTAGTTCGAAATTTTAATCACTATATGCTATCTTCGTTCTTTATTATATGTTGTTTAAAATGTATTCTAATTGGTTGTTTTTGTTAAATAAATGCTAAATATAAAAGAATGCTTCACTATTAACACGATAATAGCCATTTATAAAAGAAATATGTTGAGATGTGTCTAGAAATTATTAAAATGCAACTCATGCAATTCCTGATTGCATTGGGGAGTAAATATTTATATTGAGTAAATATTTATCTATACTGAGTGTTAAATTTTTATCTATACTGAGTGAATGATATTGGTGTTATTTTAAAGGGTATATCATGTACTATTATAATAAAAATATTGTCTCCAGTAACTAATAACTAGTAAAAATAAATATGATCATTATTTTGATATTCCCAACTTTAAGCTTTATTTTCATCCTTTATTTTTAATTTGAGCAATTTTGTTTTAACAAAATGGAATTCTGATTTTTTTGAGCTTTTAGTGAATATTTTTTATTTGAATGTAGCTATAGTAGTTTTACAGAAGTAATCACTTTTGTTGAGTGTCTTGTGCGGTCATAATAAAAAAGTGACATTTAATACGTGGACAGGTGGGGTGAGAGTCACTCACGTGGCTTGGCCACTTGAGTGGTTATCATAATGAATTATTATGAATTTTATTTAATCTAAAAAAATCTTTTCCTTTATTTTCTTTCTCCAAACTATCAAAGTAATAAGTTTGTTGAGATAAAGTAATCGTTATATTTTTTAATATTTGCCATATGTTTTATGAAGAATATTTAATTTTCCATATTTCAGATATGTACAGAACAAAGCATGGACCTATGGAGAAATTTCCAGAAGATGTAATTAGAGCAGAGACTGCAGTCGGAGGTGACATAAAAATTTTAACCAGAGATGAGTTTCAAGAAGAAAAGAAAGAAAGTTATGCAGGGTTATTTGGCGAACCAGCTAAAAAAACTCCAGTATCTGGCAAAAAGGGTAGGTTTCTCTTTATACATATATTCTGTTTCTATATTACTACTTCTTCTTCTTCTTCTTTCTTTTGTGGCGGTTTGATAAAATTCGCCAATGACGTATTGAGTGGAAAATGAAAGCTTATGAGTACGGCTTGAGGCTTGAGGTACGGTTTAAACCAGTTTATACTGGTTTTTAAAACGCGGCATGAGGCGCGGCGCATCCTCCACGCTTCGCTTCGCCTGCCGCGCACATTCCCCACTTCACCTCTGGTACCGCTAGCAGATAGACATATTATTTTTTGTGGTTGTGTTCGAATTTTTTGTGAAATGGCTCCTACTGTAAGTAAATTGACTAAACGACCATTAAGCAGCCAAACAAAAGAAATTTTATACAAATTGAATACGTATTTCAAAGATTTAACAAGAAAGACAAGAATATGTCAAGTGTCGTTACGTCGGCCCAATTGGTAGCGACATTGACGGGAATTCCGCTGTCGACTGTAAAAAAGGTTTTATTAGAAGGTAAATGTGCTTTGGAAGATGGAAGAAAATTTAAATCTCCAAAAAAAAACAAGATGCAGGAAAAATATCATTGTGATCGATGATTTTGATAAAGCGGTAATTCGGAGAATACTTCATAACTTTCACATCACCGACAAACAGGTTCCCACTATGAAAATATTACACGAAAAGTTAAAGGCAGAAGTAAATTATCCAGGTGCAATTACGTCATTAAGAAAAGAAGTATCTCTATTAGGATTCAAGTGGAAAAGGACAGAAGATAATTGCAGAATCCTTATGGAGAAACATGAAATACGATATCTTCGAATAATGTTTCTCATTAAAATTGCCCAATATTGCGCTCAGGGCCGCCCAATCGTTTATACTGACGAAACATAGACACGTCTCACACTTCGTCGAAATCTTATTCAGATGGAAGCACCTCTGGTTTAAAGAAACCAATTTCTAAGGGAAATCAGTTAATAATAGTTCATGCCGGCAGAGAGGACGGTTTCATACCCAATGCCCTACTCATGTTCAAAGCAAACCAAAAAAGTGATGACTATCATTATAATATGAACACCGAGAATTACACAAAATGGTTGCAAACGCAGCTAATTCGAAATTTAAAACCGAGTAGTGTTGTGGTGGTTGACAATGCATCATACCACAATTCGTATCAAAATCCCGCGCCCAATTCAAACCATCGTAAACAAGCTATGATTGATTGGCTCAAATATCGAAATATCGATCACTCTGGATCGATGCTTAAACCACAACTTTATCAGTTGATACTACAAAACAAAGCAAGATTTGTTGAATATAAAATTGATAATTTGCTCCAAGAACATGGTCACAGCGTTCTAAGTCTACCACCCTACCACCCTGATTTCAATCCTATTGAAAATATATGGGCAATGGGAAAAGGATACGTAGCTAAAAAAAACGTGTCAATGAATATGGACACTATAATGAGATTAACAAAGGAGAAAGTTGACGCGATCACTGTACAAGAGTGGAAAAATGTTTGTGACCATGCAGTTAAAGAAGAAAAAGCATTTGATGGTCGAGACGCCGCTATCGACGGTTTATCGGAGCGATTCATTATTAACACAGGCTCTGATGAGTCATCAGACGAGAGTGAAGATGAAGATACAATGAGCGGAGAAGAAGAGTTATAATATTATAATATATATAATATATATTATGTAGTTTATTACTGTTATTACTATAATTTAGGATAATCAAAATATCAGTATTAACTTTTAATAAAACATTGATTTTATACTAACTGTACATTTGGCGATCACTCACACAAATGCAAAGCTCAGCTTACGCCGCGAGGACTGTACTGGTATATGTTAAAAGAGAATTAAAATCTATAGGTCGAGGAATATAAGGAGGAAGGTAATCATAAAGGGAGGAGGAAAATTTGGGACAGTTGAAAAAAAATATGGTTTGTGGAAACTTCATTTAAGCCACATTCACACAATGAGCTATCCCTTACTCTGATTTTTGCCAGATGTACATGTGTACAAGCGTGTCCAATTCTTAATCTACAAATTATTGAAGTTGCATGTTTATTTGCTTTGTTAAATTTAAAGAACCAAGGCTTGGGAGGAATAACCTCTTGGATGGCAGTATAGTGCTTACCTTTAACATTTTTGGAAACTTCCCATAATTTATTCCAATTTTCATTCAGTTTCCTTTTAGCTAGCAAAATTAGGGCATGTGAGTAAATTAAATTTTGTAGAATGCCATTAGCAATTGCATTTTTAGTGAGTACATCAGCTGTTTCGTTACCATGGATACCACTGTGGCCTGTGATCCAGGCCACTGAAACATGTATTCCCTTAAGATGATGATTTATTTTAAGAATTAGTGGAAATTTATGTTTGTTTGGAATTGATTGGACAAAATAGCTAACAAACAACTTTTTGAATCTGTGAAAATAACTGTTTTATTAAGATTATGTGACATATAACAAAGCTTCACTGATTGCAGTTGCTTCACCGGTAAAAGTGGAGGATAGTGAGGGGCATTTAAAGTTAAGAATGATTTTGAACTTAGGAATCCAAACAGCAGCTCCTAGTCTTCAACAGAATGTTTGGAAGCTTCTGTGTACATGACAAACCAATCTTTAAAGGTGTTTTATATAATTTCTTTTAATTTCAAATTTGCCGTTGGAGAATCCTTTTCTATACCTAGATAGAGTTGGTTGGTAAACAATAGCCTCGTAAAGGACATCAAAGAGTGGATTTATTTTACATTGAAAGATAGGGTAAGGAAGCTGAAGAAAAATTACAAAACTTTTAAACAAGCAGGGAGAGTCCTTATGGGTCCAGTATCGGTCAGATGATATATACTCTGAAAGAAGATGCAATTTAGGAATTAGGGGATGATCTGAAAGCTGGCAGATCTTAAGTAAGAATCTGTCTGAAAGGTATTGCCTTCTTAATCTTAAAGGAGGATACACACTCAACCTGAAGAACATTTATTGGTGAGGATTTCATTGCCCCTGTGATAATGCGAAGGCATTTCGATTGAATTTTGTCCATTACTTTCAGGGATGATTTATTGCAAGGCTCCAACAGAAAACATCCATAGTCAAGGTGGCTTCGTATTAAAGCATTGTACAGTAATTTCTGAGAAAAAGGGTGGGACCCCCACCAAACACCAGACAAAGACCGAAGAATATTTTTGTTTCTTTTGCATTTTTGTGTTATATATTCAATATAATGACCGAAGGCCGATTTCGAATCAATGATAACTCCCAAAAATTTAACATTGCCTCTAAATGGAATAAGTTGCTTATCATATACAACAGATAAATAATCCATGGATGAGTTTAGACGGGAACATGTCACTGTGAAGTTGTAAATAATCCATGGATGAGTTTAGACGGGAACATGTCACTGTGAAGTTGTTTAAGGACATGTATAGAGCTAAATCGTCTGCATATTGAAGAACATTACAAAAAAGAATTTACTGAAAGTTCTAAATCATGAGTATATATAGAATAAAGGAGAGGACTAAGAACTGAGCCTTGTGGAAGTCCTTTCCATATAGTTTTTGGGGGAAGCAGGAAATTTTTAACATTTAAAGATATTGATCTAGAAGAGAGAAAGTTAGAGACATAATTGACTATCCTCACTGGAATGCTCAGATTAAGCAATTTCTGCCTGAGCACAGGAAGAAGCACATTATCATATGCAGAAGAAATATTCAAGAAAACTCCTATGAGAAGTTCATGTCTTGAAAAAGCAATATGAATATCTGTGACCAAAGTACTAAGGCTATCCATGGTACTTAAACCTTTTCGGAAACCGAATTGGCTTTTAGGTAAGAGATTATTCCTTTCCAAAAACCATTCCAAGCGATTTTTTATTATTAAATGTTCCAAGATTTTTGCCAAAGTACAAGAAAGGGCAATAGCTCAGTAACTGGAATGATCATTGCTAGACTTACCTGGTTTGAGTATGGACAAAATAATTTGGGTTTTCCATTCAGCAGGAGGATTACCAGTAATATAAATAAAATTTAAAATGGATAGTAAGACAGTTTTAGTGTTCTCACTACTATTATAAACAAATAAGGAATCCCATCAATACCTGGTGAGGAGTCTTTAAGGCCATTGAGTACAGTAATCAATTCCTGAGAAGAAAAGGGGGAATCAAATTTATCACTCGTTTTTAAAAAAAGCAGAATTAAAAACTAGGCATTCATCATAAGATGGGACTGTTTGTGGTGCAAGTTTATTAGAGAATTCATCTATCCATGGGGAAGGATCATTAGAAATTATATTTTCACTAGAAACTGCACTGCGATATTTTTTAACATTTCTCCAGACCAAAAATGGGGGAGTCCTAGGTGACAGTGACTCACAGAATTTAAACCAACCAGTTCGCTTTTTGTCTGACAGTAATTTTAAGGTTTCTACAGCAATTTTTTTATATGAGATATAATTCTCTGCAGTCATAGAACGGGAGTATATTAATTCAGCCTCTTTTCTTCTCCTACAAGCTGCTGAACAATCTTGGTCCCACCAAGGAGGAGAAGGATAATTATTTTTGAATGTTTTTTTTTTAAGGGGATTGACTTATTAGCAGCAGAAATAATTGCATTTCTGAACTCTATATATACAGGAACAATACATATTATCATTGTTAATTGGGGGAATAGTTGAAACCCCTCATTCCAAAACTGTAGAATATAATTGCCAATTAGCTTTGGATAGATTATACTTTAGTCTCGGGCAAAATTTAAGATTTATTCTAGGGGAAGTAGGAGGAGTGATGAATATAGGAAAATGGTAACTGCCATAGCTAGAAGGTAATATTTGCCACAAAAGAAGGGAAGCAATGTCTGGGGAACAGAGAGTTAGGTCAACGGCACTTCTAACATTTTATAATGGGGATACTCGACGGGTAGGAGACCTGTCATTTAGAATACAGAGATTAAAATTATCAATAAAATCTAAAAATAAGGAAGCCAGTGAATCACACAGATGGGAGCCCCAAA